TCCTGGCCGTCGCCAGCAAGCAGCACCGGGCGCAACGACGCGCCGTCGTCGACAAACACCCGTGCCCCGTCGAACTCGGGTCGGGCCCGGATACACGCCCGGAACTCGTTATTGCTGTTGGCTGGGTAGCTCCATTCCACCGTGCCGGAGTTGCAGCGGAGTCGCACGGGACGAATGCCGCCACTGTCGTCCGGACCGAGGTCGAAGCCGCTGGAATTACACGAATAAATAAACAAGCGAATTAAAATCTGAATAAAAAAGGAAATTATGCCTCACGCCAAGAAAACAGAAACCGAATTGAGATCAAAGCCGCCGGAAATAAACAAATATATTAATGAGCTAATCAAAATTCTAAAAAAAGGAAATTATGTCTCACGCCAAAAAACAGAAACAAAATTAAAGGCATGTCAAAAAGTCTTTCCGATTACGTAAAATTAAATATTCTTTCGCACACGAATTTAAAATAAAAGAGATGAAGCTGCCACATGCATCCTTGCGAAGGATGAGATGGATTGCATAAAATGTGTCTCAGTTACGCGCGACTTTCATTGATTCAAAACAAATATTTTTCAAATTGCACTTGAAAAATTTCTACGACAGGAAGAGGATAATTTTTTGAATAGTTGTAATATTCAGATTTCTTGTCCAAGATCCCACTTGAACAGGCGAAAGAAAAAAACATATATTTTCTTGAATTTATGGAAAGAGGAAAACGTCCGCAGAAACCTGAACTTAGACATTTACAGTAGAGTATGTAAAGAAAACCATTTCAAATTCAGGAAATATGCAAAGTTTTGCAAGATGCCTGCTTTCAATAGACAGTATAAGCAGTTTTTGGATCAATTCGCACATGGATGCATGACCTCGGACTATTTTTAGCGAAAATAATTCAGGCAAATAAGCGTTTGAAAATGAGGTGTTCGAATATTTTTCCGGTCTCATATTTCCAATAAGCAAAATTTATTTTTCAAGCTGAGAATTTCTCAGGGTACGCCAACATTTTTTTATAAAGTTCTCTCCGAAAGAAAACAGCAGAAGCCAACCGAGAATTTAATAACGAAAACCTCTTTCGTGCTCCAAGCTCGAAGAAATGCTGTGCGTAGTGTATCACTAAAAACAATGCAAACGAATGCTGAAGCAGCTTAAATTGTCAGGAATAATGGACACGATATGCAGCAGCCTCGTTCCGGTTTTTCTTAAATCATACAGCATACATAAGTAATTCAGAAAAATCTGACATCCCCACGTCAGCACGGGAAAATAAAAAATATTGAAAAGCCCGACCCCCAGTCGGTTCCAAGACCACATATGAGGGCGTCACGTGCCAGTGCCACCCAAAATTCCAATCCCCCTTCACATGGTATCACACACACACGCACCACTTATCCATGAAAAGAATCTTTTCTTCTTTGGGATTGAACACGGGAGAACTCATCACATGCGGGGTCACGTGGCGCTTTTTTTTTCTTTACATATGACCCAGAGTCGGCTTTTCCACTTGCCTTCACGCAAAAAAAATGAATAATCGATGATGACGATGATAATAATCATAATCTATGCATGCCTCACTCATGAGCACCCACATGGAAAGGCACAGAAATTAAGCAGCTATTCTACGAACATAAGTCCCAGCAAATGACACGCAGCAGGGAGTTGCAAATTCCCTTATCCGTAGAGAAAGAGCACTTCAAGGACAAGATTCGTTAAGGACTACCGAGGTGGATATTTCTGGAAAATTTCCCAAATCGGATGAAATCTCATCAACATCCATCAGTCAACGAACTTACTAGAGATATTTTTGGAAGTTCTCGAATCACGAGTTTTTGAGTTAGAGCCTTCAATTGCTGGGCATTTTTGTTGAATTTCAGCCTCGAAAAGAGCAAGTTCTGCATCGAATTTAGAAGCATAAAAAATGTACAAAATTTCGAAAAGCTTTTCTATTCTTCGCGGACGCTCGCCACATCGCGGTTCGAAAATTTCCAAAAACATTAAAATATTTCACTGAACCTCGTCTACCAACACAATCATACAGTAAGTAACATCCGAATTCTATCAGTTGAGGCTAATCGTGTCAAAGTAAACGAGATGAGACAAATTGAAGGATAACCAATGAATAAAAATTACCTATCTGAACAAAATTATCATCAAATTATCACAAGAAAACTAGAACGTGGTCGTGCACAAAAAAAGACAAAAATTGAAGCTCAGCAATCGATGAAGACCTCTTTTCCGGCGCAGAACACGTTCCAAATTGGATAATCGATGCAAGCGAAAAAATGTGCAGAAGGAATCGCACGGAAATTTATGGTACTCGGCAAACTTTCACACGGGAAATGAAGGAATCCCTCGAGGGAGCAAAGTAGTTTCCAATGTTTCCAAACGTCCCTCGCCGCTAATTCGTGCACATTCCAACCTGTGCCCCCGCAGATTTTCATCATAACGAAGCTCCCCCTAGTCCTGAGATCGAATGCCTTTTTTTTTCGTTGATTTTTCTTCAGAAGGAGAAGTCGAATGGAGAAAAGGGCATAAAAACTTCAGGGATTGTTTCTTCAACGATTGCCAATTACCGAGACGAGCTACTCTTCGAGAAATCCGACAGGAGTCTAGTTAAACAACTTAAACATCACAAACGTTCTTCGGGCCTGTACCTCAGATTTTCAACGGAAAAACTAGGGGAAGACTTTCTAAAACCGCGAGTTCAAATTTTCCTACAAGAGAACGAGAGTAGCCAAAAATATACTTTGAAGGAAAAAAATACTGCACTCAAAATACGTTGCTCGAAATATTGGATAATTTAGGGCAGCGATTCTCTTCAATTTGATAAATTTTCATTTTTTTTTTAATTCTACAGACAAAATCGTCCACTGATCGACGGAAAACGTTTGATATCTCTCATCCATCTCTCTTTAGCTCCAAAATTGATAACTTGAAAAACAGTCATGAAAAACGAGATGAAAAATGAATAAAGNTACATCGATCAACATATAGGTCACATTCGAGTCGCACAGTGAATATTTCGCGTGAGTAGGGAACAGAGCAAATGATCTCTTCCCACACGGGCAGCATTGAATTCAACACTCCAATAAAAATGACGTCACTCGCAAGTCATCACGGCGAGATCCTCCGCCATCCGCGTCTGAAGCGCAACTGAGGAGGAGCGAGCGGCAGCGCACTTGCCAACAGGTGCTACAGTACCCGTTACAGTATTCCCGCCTTGTCGCGCGCAACCGCACGCGTCAAGGCTTGCTCACTAGCATCCACACTCCCCGCAGTCGCAAGACTAAGATGGGTGAGATTATGAGAAGAGACATGCATGCAAGTGGTCTCGGGAGTTGGGCCCATATAAGTACAAGTGAGATGAAGCTAGGAAGCTGCATCCTGTGATTCTCTGTCCCACTTATGTTCATAGTCAGAGAGAGAGAGAGAGAGAGATAGAAACAGATAGAGAGAGAGTGGGGAGGAGCTGAAAAGCTAGTACTGTACTGTACTGCAAAGCAGGGCTTGTCAATAGAAGGTAGGTGCTGTTGGATCTTGGCCATTCAGGAGAGGTACACAAATTATTTCATGCTGTTCAAGTGGTGAAGTCTTGGAAAAAATGCGAAAATGTATTCTTAAAAGCACTGTATTATGCGTTCATGAGTGTCCCAAAGACTGAAGTGAATAAGCAAAAGTCTTAGCATATCTGAGGTAGGACTTTTTTCATGTTTTTCTTTAGTGTGAGAATCAATTTATTTTGGGCCATTGACTTATCCTGCTTACATGATACCATTGAACAGCATTCCTGTCTAGATGTATATAGTGCAAGATACTGTTCCAGCATTGATCAGGGGGAAAGTGTACACTGCAACAAGTGCTGCATGATGCTTTAATTATTAGAGGCCTCCCGCAGTGAAAATTAAATGTTTACACCCTTTACTGCCAATAATTGTGGTCCCATTTGCTGACCATGTTTGCTTTGTAAAGAGGCCTCTGCTTTGTATAATTCACTCCTTGATAATTGAGTCTTTTCATGCTGCAGTATAGATCATACATGCAAATCTTGGTACCAGAAGAAAATTTAAAATAAAAAATGATTTTCATATTTTGCATTGCATTTAGTAGCATTTTTTAGTTCATGGTTGTTTATGCTTTCATTCATTAATATCTTATGTTGAAATTTTTTTTTAGAAATGAAGGCAAGAATTTATGTTGTGGGACCAGCACCAAATATACCAATTCTTTGGCATAGTTAAGAAGGATGCCATGAAAATGCCAGCATGCAAAAAAATAGCTTTTTCTTATGCTAATATTTCCCATGATGACTAAATCAAATAGTGGAATTGAAAAAATCTTGTCATCAAATGATGCATTCAAGTATCTTGCAACCTGGGGGCTGTTTGTTGTGTTCATTGGACTTTTAAACACTCTTGTAGGATTATGCATTTTCTTGTGCATTTTCATCCATTAAGAAGGTACATGATTAAGCTTGTGCAGCTTCATTTTTATTGAAATTGAAAAGCAATGCATGACTGGGAAACATCACTTTGCCTTGAACTACAGTATTTACCCCAGCATCACTGGCGCCTTTTTTCCAAAAAAAAAAATAGATGAAGGAAAGTGGGATGGGCATGGTACATGGGGATAAAAATTATGTAACCAATGGTGCCAGCCATCATTCATTTTCTGTTGGTTGAAATAATGAGCCAGAATTCTAGCAGTAATAATGTTGGAATGCTATATAGTGTTATTTTTATTGATGGTTTATTTTGCTATTTCAAATTTATTATTTGAAATAAAAAAGGGATTTTTGGTCATCTATAAAACTAGGGCGCTTGTATTATGTGGGGGGATACACTTTTGGACAAATTTTCAGCCAAAAACGAAAGGTGTGTCCCTTATGCTAGACTAGCTAGATCATGTGGTAATTGACTATATGTGCTGGTTTAAAATGCACTTTTACAGAATTGATGAGGGAAAATCATCAACTAGGTTTCATGTTCATGCACTGAGAATGCTGAGACTTCTCCAAAGACCACTTTATTTTCATTCATTGATTTCCAGCCTATATTACATGACACTGGCTTTTTTCTCACATGGTAAAGCAACAGACAAAATGCAGGGAACTCTTTGGGTATATCAGTATGCACTTTTGTTATATTTGAAATCTATGAATGTAGCATTAATTCTCAGATCACTGAAGGAGAAGTGTGGAGCAGGAATGATTCTAATCCTCTGGACAGCTTCTTATCACCCAGGTCTGAGGTTGACCTGCTGTCTGATGATTCCAGATGGATGTGGTCTTGTATAACCTGGACAATGAAATATTTCAACCTTTTCTCAGTAATGGATGTTTTTTTTAAGACTAACCTTGAGTAGTTTTGGACGGTACTCTTCAGGTGTCTCTCCAGGGCTTCTAAATGGCATTCTCTGATTTGCTCTTCTGATCACCACTTCTAAGTCATCTGTTGACATTATTGAGACTGGATCCAACATGTTCTTCCTGATCAGGCTTCCAAGATATTCCACATAATGGTTTCTTTAAAAAAAATAGTGAACTTGAAAAGTCTGAAGTTCACTTTTTCTCTGCTGATGATACTGTACCTGCATAAGCCAGCATTTCCTTCAGGAGAATCTTCTCCACAGAGGTGTTCTTCCAGTCCTGAGATTGTCTCTCTGACTTCTGTAATGAAACATTTCCTTTGTTGACTTGGCAATGACTCTCCTGCATCTTCTTTGATCTCTACTCCATTTTCCTGGAAGGATAAACAATTTCATTTCAACATGCAATTGAACAGTTGTGCTTTTTTAAAACTCACTTTCAGCAGTTTCTTCAGCAATGCAGGCTCTTTGTCTCTTAGATAAAACAAGCAGTTTCTTGGGTGGTGAGCATGGAGTCCAAGTTTTGCACAAAACTCAACTTTCAGTGGACATTGAATGCCCATGAAGAATGGCTTGTCACAGCCACTGCAGAACTCATGTCTACACTGGACACAAGTGAAGTGCATACAACCACCTCTAGCTAGTAAGTAACGGAAGTGGCAATTGGGGCACTGAATCCCATTTTCTTTGAGCTGTTCTTCTATTAGAAGCTCTGCCTGGTGAATTTTGTCCTCTGGTTTTGTATCCAGAACTGAGAACTGTTGACAAGTCATGTCTTCATGCTCTTTTGTCCACTGAAATATTGATGATAGGTTAGGCATTTGATTTTGAAATGAATAGTAAGTACTTTTGACTCACTGGTTTGTCACAGTCTGCACAAAATATTGCTTTGCACTCTGGGCACTCATGCTTCTTCCTGTCAGCATTCTTAATGAATCCAGATGAGCACTGATGGGTCAAGATTTTCATTTTATTTTTTAGGCCCAATGAAAGTTCCTCATGTGCTTACTTGTGCACACCATCTGAAGGCTGGATCTTTCATGAGACTCCAGTCCCTGAGTTTTTGTTGATAAAGATGAAAGGCCTCATCATCAATGGTGTTTTTCAGGATGATTTCTAGATGGGAAAAATATTCTTGAGCTAAGTCGTCATTCTGAAGGTTGGGCTGGTCACAAAATGGGCACTTGATTTCCAGAATGCTCCTTTCTTTTATGCAGTTGGTAAAGTGAACTTTAGCACAACTGCGGCAACAGCGGTGAGTGCAATGCAGCATAGACACCATCTGGGAAAAAGGATAAAACGTTTGTCTTCTGAATTGCTTTGTTATGTTCAAAAGTATTGCATTGTGATGATACACTGCAACATTCAATTCTTGCTCACTTGGCTGATTGGCACTTTGAGAAGACATATCTCACAGGATTGTTGGAGAAATGTGATAGCTGTGTAAAGACTATCACATTCCCTTGCTGCTTGGAGGCAATTTGGCTCTGAAAAATCCAATTCCATGAGCCTTGCTGCTATTTCTCCTTCTTTGTAATTTCTCACCAGACCCTCAGCCAGGAGACGCCTGACTTTCCTCTGGAAGAAGTAAAATTTCAAGTTATTTTCAGCAAAGTCTCCATCATTTGCTACCTCAGCTTGTTTTGTGCAGTCACCATTTTCTGTAGGAAGTAGGTTAGCAAAGAAAACCTCATTCCAAGCTTTCAGGTATAAGAGGAGCTCTTTATTAGTCTGCCTTACATGCTGTAATTCTGCTTCACAAAAATGTCACTTTTGAACTTGGGTATTCCTTTCAATGGGAAGATTGCGTCTGTGGAATGTAATGTATGCTTGTTGTATATAAGGGAGTGAGACAGTGCTGTATACGGATGCACTGCGCACATTGGCAGCCCAAGTGGGGAAATTGGTGCTCACTGGGGATATGCTTGTAATTCTACACAGTGACCCTGCTGTGCACCTGAAGTGTACCAAAGTTCTTCTGTTGCTCATGCATATCCCTAATGTGCACCAATTGTGTGTTCACGCCAGGATTACTCAGGGTCACATTTGTGAACAAATAAGTTACACCAAGGTTACAGTTGGTGCATTTGTGTGATAGTCCTGTTATGTCACATTTGTGCACCAAGTGTAGCCCTGGAATGGTAGCAAAATTTCCTCTACAGGAGTGCACCCTTGTAACCCCAGAATATCCCATATGCACCAGTTGTGACCCTGGTGTGCACCTACTGTGGGGTCACAGCAAAAGTAGCTCCCCACTTGGAAGGTTTTAGGAAGAAGCTGGAGTTTTTCTTTATAAATTTAAGATTGCTACTGGACATGCACTTGTGAATGGTGTGGCTAGCTCTACTCAAAAAACATTTAGAACTGGAATTGATCTAAGAGGTACTTCAACCGGTTAGCAGAAGACTGAACCATCATGGAGTGTTTCTGAGAAGCTAAAAAGTTGTGGTGGAAGGGTACCTCAAACTCAGGCTTGACAGCCTTGTCTGACCCTCCATTAGCTTTGTGAACTTGACCATCAGGCACATGTTCAGATTCCATCACAAACTCCTGACTCAGGACTTCTACCACAGGTTCAGGGATTTCAGCTTGAGGCTCTGGCAGAATTTCAGGCACTTCCACCTTGACTGTCACTGGTTGCAGAGGGGTTTCCTCAATTGGAATCACTTGAGTGGTTTCCATATATTCAACAGCATCCTCTGGTTTGTGAAAATTGAGAATTTCAGGGGGCTTCTCTGTAAATATTTCTTCTGTGAATTCTGCATTGGCGTCACTAAATAGCGCAGTTGGTGATGAACTCCCTGCAGATTTGTCAATAGGTTGCTGAGGTGCAAGGACAGGAATTGTTGGATTCTTTGCCATTACTGTTGCTGTCATTGCTGAATCTGAAATTAGGGGTTTTTTTCTCAAATGTGCTTTGATGAGTCACACAATCTCTGCCCTACCTTTGAAAATTGGGGAAACAGTTTGATAAGGCAGACTGAATGGAGAAATGGGATGATTTTGATTACTCTCCATATGCCTGGGAATCATCATTTGCATAAAAATGGGCTTGAACTGTGCCTTTGCCAATTCCATGTCAGCCCTCTGTTGATCACCTCCAAATTGCTCCAGCACTTCCAGAATCTCTTCCCTTTTGACACTGGGATACTTCTCAGTCAATGCAAAAAGCTGAAAATAAATATTTGGCACATATAAAAGACATCAAGGTCCATTATAATTAATTTTGATCTCACTTTGTTCTTGCGCTGTTGAGTACATTCAATCACTGATGCCCATACATTTCCTTTGTTCTGACGGAGTGCTTTTTCAGATTCTTGTTCTGTTATTTTCCCAATGCTATTCTGTGGACCTTCCAATTCATTCAAATAATCTGCAGCTAGAGACTGAACACTCTGAACCATGAGAGGCCAGTTTTCCTTCAACCAAATGAAAGGATGTTTTGATCCACAATGAAGCATTGCAATTTCCATATCTTCTGGGTGAAAGCTTGCTGGTTTCTGAACTTCTTGAGGCTTCTGTCAAAAAATTTCAAATTCAGAAAATATTCCCATAAAATGTTTTAGTTTGCTTACTGGAAAGAGCATTGCAGCCAAATTCATGGTGCTTCTGGGCTGACTTTCTCTTTGAAATGGGATGTGATGTGTGGGTCGCCTCTCATCCATGAATGATCCCCTTCTTTGTGGCATTTGATCTGGTTCTTGGCTCTTAAAGAGAGATGTGACTTTTGTAAGACACAGAGATATTCAGCCAATGGAATATGTGCATACCTCAACTGAAACGCCATTGAAATTTATGCTGAACTGTCTCATGGGTTCTGTTGGCAGAAGAGGAGACTTGCTGCTGTGTAATGGATGCACCACAAACTTGGCATTGTTTTGGGGCATGGAATTCCAAGGAGCTGTTTCCTTGACAGGAACAAAGCCAACAGGAGCAAATGAGCTTGGTTTGTTGTCATGCATTGTATGGCTTGTCACTTGAGGTCTGACTGGGATATCCCTGACCTTATGAATGTGTGAGGCCATTGTGGCCTGAGGAATTGGAATCCTGGGTGGAAGCACACTAGAGACTTCATAAAAAATATCCTCTTCTTGTGTCTGGAGAACAAATCCCTTGTGAAACTCTTTTTGAACCTTGAAAATAAAACTGTTTAACCTGTGTGCCAATTTCAATGGGAGGAGGAGATGTTCCCTTTGACATGCATTGTTTTGGCTGGATTATGTGACTGACTGCTGGGCCTTCTTTGATTCCTGCTACTTGGATTTCTGCATTTGCTACTGTCCTGAGTGTCACATTTCCTGATACGATTTCTCCTCCCTCTGAAGGAAAAAAAAATGTTTTTAGTTAGGCGATTTCAAGGAGAGAAAAAAAAACTGTTACCATCAGAATCAGTGGCAGGGCTTAATGCTGGCTGAGGTGTGCTTTCATTGGCCACAATAGCTGTAGGGCTATGGATGATGAGTTGATGTACTTTGCCATCCAGGGATTCCAGGTCCTCAGCATCTTCGAGTTTCAGTGGATCTGTGCCTTGATCTGTGCTGATTATTGGCCTTAAATCTAGCTTCTTGTTTCCTGGGGTCAATGAAGTCACATTTTTGGGGATGGACTTCTTTGAAACTGCAGTGTCATCAATGGCTGTGTCCAGGTCTGAACTCAGCGAGGAAGAACACCTTGACTGTTCTTTCTCTGGTGGTGGCAGAGACACAGTTTCCAACAAGTCTTTGGATTGCAAAAGTTGATCAGTATTGGACCTCCTGATGTGCTTCTTGAAGCGCCTGTGTCGCATTGCAGGATGAGACCCCTTGGGTACCACATTGGTCTTTGAGCAAATGACACAAATCTTGGCTGTTGGTGCATTTAGAAAGGTGCAGAATTTGCATTGCCATTTGGCAGTTGCATCCAAAGACATATTTGATTCAGCTGTTAGTGCATGCTGTGATGCTGCTCTGGATCTCCTACTTCTCAGGGTTTTGAAGGAGAGAGTGTCTTGGAAATCATCATCACTGTGTCCAATGGAATAAAAGTCTTCTTCTGATTCTTCTGAAGATGATCTTGGTGGCACAGACCTGGCATAATGTCTTCCAGTTTGTTGCGTCCTTTGAGCGGATTTTGAAAACTTTCTGTGCATTGAGCTGCTTTGTGGTGGTAATTTAGGCTGTGGCATCCATTCATTCATTATGTCAACACTAGGTGCTCTTCTGGGTGGAGGAAAGCTATTTTGTTGTTGTTGCTGTTGCAAAGAGTGCAGCCTTCAAGTACAACTTCAGATTAGACACAAAAATGGAATATAATTTTCATCTGATATGATACCTCATGTAATGTTTTTCTGCTGGAGTCTCCTTGGTGGTTGGCATTGATTTCTTTCTTTCCATTAGTTGCTGTTTATCTTGACTGTAGATATTTGTGTCCTCTGGTACATAAGGCTGGGTCATGACAGAAATTGCTCTGTCCTCAATTTTGGCAGGGTCTGGTCCCCACAGGGTGGTGTTTTGGCAGGAAGGACAAGTGAGGTTAGCCATGGACTGTGCCTGCAATGCAATATTTGTCAGGACCCTTGTTAGTGCATGCATGTAATGCAAACATGACATATTCATGCTACTTGTTGCATTGGTGTTGGTGCCATTAATCTGCTGGGTGCTCTGGATTGCTGCCCCTCAGAGTTGTTCAGGCTCAGTAAGCTTCCATTGGTTTGTTTGTAAAATCCTTGTCTTGAAGGAAGAGGCAATTGCTGCCTGGGCAGATTCCAATCAGCAGGAGGCCTGGTGGAAACTGGCAAAGTGTGCACAGCAGGTCTACTTGTAGTATCCATTCTTGGGTCATTGTGAGCATTTCTCCTATCCTCATTCCTCCATCCATGTAAGCTTGGTGGTTTCTGTGCAGGAGACTGCATTCTTGATCCCTGAATAATCAGCCAAAAATTCATTCTTTTTCATGTTTTTCCCTAATAAAAAAGTGCATGCTGGGAAATAGTATACTTTTTTTAGTTGTCTGCATCATTTAAATGTTGTTGCATCCATTTTTAATGTTTTTCCCTAATAAAAAATGCATGCTGGGAAAGAGTAACTTTTTTTTAGTTGTCTGCATCATTGAAATGTGGTTACTGACTTTAGCAAGTCATAATCTGTTCATACCTAGTAACAGTCTTGTTGAATTGATGAAGATGGACATAACTTATAATCTGTAATTTTGTATGTCATTGCTTCCTGACTGTTTCAATCATAGCCCATCTAGTGTAAGGTTTTACCAGTAAGAATTAGATTAATTCCCCCCCCCCCCCCCCCCCAGAGGCAGTCTCATGTGCAGAAATCTGTTGTGCAGGACATTCATTCTGCAGGGGGCAACTGATTTTCAAATTTGACTGTGCTCAATTTGAATCAAAATATTTATGAGGTGGTTTAATTGATACAATCAACTCTTGGATAACAATGAGGAAAAATATGTAGTTGGTTTAAACAAATTAAGTACAGTATATTTCATTATGTAGTTCTTTTTATTTTTAATACACATTTGTGACCTCAGTGGCTGAAGTGGAGGAGCTCAGTTAGTCTTGAATTTTCATCAGCAGTATATTGAACTCACCAGACATGTGTCTGTAATGTCCAACATGAAGACCGCTCTGGAATATTCCTTGATTAGTGACATCTCTCTGTAGAGAACAATTCTGTGTCATGTATAAATTACGAGTGCGGGATTATTGTATTTCATACTTACAATAGAGGGGCGTGGCGTAAACTGAGACGCCCTGCGCATTTGCTGCTGGGGTTGTTGCATCCTATGCCTTCTTGGTGGTGGAACTGGTGCATTGTTCTGAATAGTATCGCCTTTTGGTGGGAGAGGTGGACGAGACTGGTCAGTCGCCCAGACCATCTGGTCTTCTAAAGGCTAAATTTGTGTGTGTGTAAAAACAGTGGTTAAACGAAATCACAGTCAATGATTGTTTTTAAATAAAGACACACAAGCATACTGGTATTGAGCCAGTGGTATGCAGGTACCATTATCTTGAAAAGCATGAAACTCATGGTGCATATCATACAGTGGAGTCTCAGCACTCATACAAACACTTCCACTTAACATACTTTCCACTTTAAAAGCTTGATTTTTGTAGGTTTGCTTCACTTGTTTACCAACAAGGATCCAGCTTGCCAACATTTTAAAGTGAAAACACTCAGCAATTTACAGAAGAAAGCATTGGAATATTACAATTCACTCTACAAACTTTGGGGTTGATTACATTTATGCTTAAACAGTTTTTGTAGTTCAGCCAAGACCCCACTGTACTTGAGTCCCCATTTGGCTGAAAATAATAAACAAACTTTTTTGGCCACCAATGATTCATGTCTGTTTTTCAATTACTTAACTGGATTTTTTTTTTATAAATCATAATGTTGAAAATGGGATGTGGTTTTGATGCAGGGATAGGTTCTGTGTTATTGCCTTGCCAAAAATTAATATGTACATCTTACTAAAAAAAAGCTTGTTGTATTTGGGTAAATACTGTACATTTTCAAAATTTAATGCAACTCCCAATTGTGTTTTATCGCATCCTGATTTAAAATTTTGTGGTATAAAGGCAGGTTAAGTAACTTTTCTAATTATTCAATTATTTATTCTATTATTCAACCAACCCAATACTCAATTTTTTTTTAAATTATTTTAAGTATTTCGTTGGTGGGATTGTTTGAAAAATCAAAATGTCAAATTAGACGGCTTTCAAGAAAAACTAAAACATCTCGGATCTATGAAAAATTATTCATTCATTCATTTCTACCAGCCGTTTTCCTCCGATTGAAATACGGAAAGGTAGACTTGCCAAATCAAATGCAGGGGATTATAATTGATTTCACGTAGTTAAATAAAGCTCTACTGCCTGCTATCATCTTTAAATAAAAAGAAACTCGTTGCCGGTATTTTTAGCATACGAAGGTTGGTTCATAAGTTTTGAAACTCTGCGAAATAAATCCAAAACTGGTGAGTTTCAACAATTCCAAAAAACCATTTTTACTCGCATATAGCCCCATCATTTCCTCCGCCAATTTCAATTTAATTTTCAATGCAATAAATCTAACAATCAAAACAATTCAAAATCGCTCGCATAGCGAATAATGAATTATTTTTTTGGAATTGTGGGAACGTTGTGGGATCTGCAGTATTCAGAAAATTCGCGAAACTTATGAACCAACCATCGCATATTTTCCGAGCATATTTTTAGGGCACTTTGGCGTTATAGATGCTCACCTGTCTGGCGTGACTCATTCTTTTCGGGTGTCGATGGAAAACGTCGTCACAGGAGCGACAGAAGAGCTGGTTGTAACATCGCTCGCAACGGAATTTGGCAGACGGCGACCCGCACAAATCACAATGAAGCGCCAAAGACATTTTGAAACCCCTTCGAGTTTTTTTTTTTTTCAAAATGCCAAAATTGTAGATCTTATTTTGCTTCACTTGATTGCAACGCAGTCATTCCAGTTTTTCCGGAATGATGGTCAAATCTGAGAGCGAGCCATTTCGCCGTTTTATTTTTGAAAAGGTTTGGTGGATATGCCAAATTTTCTGCAATCTGCGACGACAAAAGATCAAGAGTTTTTTTTTTAATAAAGCCGGGTTTTTCCTCAACTGACATCAGACGTTTGGTTTTATTGACACCAGTGTGTGTCACCCAGATCACCAGATGTTTGTCCAACTTCAATTCAGCACTGAGTGCTCCAAGTAAAACTAGGACTGGAAATTTTAAAATACGATATTGTATCAGTATTGCATGAATAATGATCAGCTGCACTTAAATTTCTGCTGAGGGAAACAAAATTCAACGGCTGGTCAATGCAAAGATTTGTTTCAGGCATTCCACCGAAAACACTGATCACACATTGTTTTGTTGACACTTTCAAAGGAGCAGATTTCCTCTTTTAATTCAAATTTGTTGAATATTTCATTAGTTATTTTTATTAAAAACTAGGGTGATTTATTGGATGAACAATTCTTCCCGGAAAATCGTTCAAAAACATTTCTTGAACCCGGCCCCGGGTGATTCTCGTGCTTTAAAAAATGTGGAACTTTTCAATTTTCTGAATTTCCTGAGGCGTTTCACTGAAGTCACTGATGTTTAGGCACTGTTTCATTGATTCCTTTTGGATTTTAAATTTTCACACGCCCTTCTGCATTTTTGTTTGGATGGCGGAAACATTGAAAAAGCAACTCACTGATACAGTACTATAGACATTTGGATTTATTCATACAGTGCTGTACTGTACAGTGAGACCCCGAGATGCGGACGTAATTGGTGCATCAAGAGTGTCCCTAAGTCGAAATGTCCCCAAGTTGAGTCTCATTTTCCCATAGACTTACATTATATAATTTTTAATTGGTATTTTGTGCAACAAAATACTCACCATAATTCCATGAAACTAAAAATTGTCTCCCAATTGAAACTGATTCCAATCAATATATTTCAACACAATATTGACATTTGGGGAATTGAAATCTGATACCTCTGTAAAGTACATTGAAATGTTGGCATTCTCTAATTATAAAAATTACATTCAAGTGAAAAAGAGGGAAGGAAGTCCCTCTTTAGGGTTGGAAATATTTGTTTCTTGTAATTTGGCCTGAAAGGTATTTGCAATTTAATCACAAAATGTCCGTATGTTGATTCAGTGTCCGCATGTTGGGCCTTTTTTATAAAATTTTAAAAGAAAATAAGTGTCCCTATGTCGAATTGTCCGCAGGTCGAGGTGTCCGCATGTGGGGGTCTCACTTTGTACTCCCAAACTGATGTGATTTCGGCGAGAGGTCAAACACTCCACTTTTCTCAATAAGTTAATATTCCGTCAAAAGTCCTGGAGTTCATGTATTTTAAAATCTGATGATTTTATGAATGCTGCGAAGAAGAAAAAAAATCAGCCATCAATTCATCACTCATCGACGGCCGAATCCATGCGTGATTTGACATTTCGCCGATTTTCTGAGCAGTTTCAAGACAGAAGATTGTCAAACTGTTCAAGAAAGAAAAGAAAAAAACGATTTAAACCATAAAAAATGTTGCACAGTATATATCATCTCAACTCATGAGCCCTCGTCTCCACACGGCTGACATTTCATCACTAAAACAAGAGAAAAAAAAATTCATGATCGAGAGGCCTGAAACAAGCCGGTTGAAATGTTCGACGGGAAGGCGGAGGCACCATCACCATTTACCACCACCATGCACCACCACCACTAAATACAGAAGAAGAAAAAGTGTTTGAAGTGGTCGGAATTTTCCTTGGCACCAGAAGGAAAGAAAACCATGACTTTTTGAAACCCCAGACTGGTTTCCGGCCACAAACTGACGCTTGCTGGTGCCCCTGATGCCCGGGAAAAAATTCCGACTCTGTGGCACCTTGGCACCCTGTCAAGAAATTCTGAGGTGCAGTCCACCTCAGCACGGCCTGCCAAGAATACACCACTCGCAGATTTCTTGTTCCGTGAATCCCTGTCCTCGGCGAACTGCAATTTTCTCCTCGTTTTTTTTTATTATATTTTATTTATATTTATTATGCTTCGTTTTTTTTTTCTTTTCTGGAGATATGTATTTGCTTCAATGGTCGTTGCTATTAGGGGTATATTGGAGGAACAGTACTTGGACCGCTGTCTGCTCTGCATGAGCGGGTTCATATGTTGATCTGCTGCTTACTTCCACGTCAACGCACCGTGTCCTTGGTTCTTGGAGTTCCGACGGCTTCATATAGATGTCACCTGCACTTGCTGCTTTTTTTTCTTTAAAAGGCAGATGGAGGCCCCCGAGATGCGGACGTTTCTTGTCTCTTTTTCGGAATGCGCTGGCATGTTGAATCAAGTTTTCCCATGTGCTTCAGTTGGAAATGATTCCATTGGCTCTCCAGTTCATCAAAAATTAGGAGGAATCAGTCCCTCAACAATTGAATAACATTTTTTTCTCAAAATAAATGCATTGCTAATTTAACTGTGTGGAAGAAAACCACACAGAATAACCTTTTGGTATTAAAATGATCCCAGAAAGCTGAGAACCAATAAAATTCCTGCTATCAAGTGCACAGGTGTGGATTATTTGATAATACTCGGAAAAAAAGAAGCATAAAATTAAACTGATTTTTATGATACATTTAAGTAAATTTACAATGGAATTCATTTTTAATTCTTAGAATAAAAAAACTTAATTTGATCAAGAGATATCCAAGTTTTGAAATCGCCTTTTGTCTATAGAAATGTTGCAAAACTGTATGTATTTTAAGAAATTTCGCACAGATGTTGGGCAGATTTTTTAAGGATTTAAATATATCCCTTGGTCAAATCATCTGTATGCCAGGGTCTCACTGTGTATAAATTGAATTGAATGATCTTGGTGCTACATTTATTGGTTGGGCTAGTTTAATTTCACTCTGATTAGTCTGCGTTTCGGATTTTCTTGATTCAATTAGGCTATAGTGATGATTCAAATGACACCTAATACTGAACGTTCCAGAGAGCAATTCATCTCACAATTTTCATTGAAGGAGGCCACCATTTAGAAGCACAATTGAATTGGGAAAATTTTACTGGTAGCTTCTGAAATTTCTGTTAAAACTTGACATGGAAATTCGAATAGTTCTTATGCATAATGGAATTTGAATTCCATTTGTGTAGGTATAAACGAATGGATTTTTTCTGCGAAATTTGAAGATTTCATTGTACACATATGTCCTATACCTGCAGGAAATTTCCTTATCCCTGTAGTGGGGAGCATGAAAAAAGAATATGCATATTTTTTGCTTTGGTTCTCTAGAACAGCTGTTTTAATATACTGCTGTAAAAGTATATGTAGCACAATTTTAGCAGTAAATACCTGACCAATCCAACAATAAATGGAGGTTTAAGATAACAGTTTTGACTTAGAAAGGTTACTAGAAAGGCTATTAAAGTGTATTAAACAATATCAAGAGATAATTGGGATATAAACTGGAAATTTTAATTTTGGCCGGTGCTGGTTTTTGACAAAATGTATCATTTCGCAAGGCAGTAATAAAATAGGAATGAAAAATTCAGCCAACCAAGATACTGCACAATGCTGTATTCGCTTTACATTCGATGCAGGATAAAAATTACTGTATCGTGGAAAAGTTCGTAATGCAGTAAACATTTTTTGAAAGGACTCGAACAAGTCGTCAATCTGCATGAGGATGCGGTTAGCTTATTCTCTGACAGCTTTTGTGACATCGTGTGCCCGCTGCTTGGAAAATGTTTCTACAATTTATATAACTTTAAATAGGTGTCGCTGCAAACGCAGTGCTTGAGCTGATTTCTGGAGTTTTCGCGGAGAGGGAAGATCCGAACCAGCAGATGGACGGTCGTGTATAATCTCGTATGTGGGACTGTTCGGCTTTTCGGGATTAAATCAATCAGGACTCGAAAATAGCAGAAAATTAGCGACAACGATGCACAACCAGTTTCATTATTTCCCATAATGAACAATCAGAAAAATAATAACTCAAGGAAATGCCTCGAAACCGACCGGGACAAATATTGAAAATTTTGGAAAAAAATTGAACCTCGTCCAACAAAACTATATGAGATCCAGCCTTAGTCGCGAATCATAAACAAAATGTGAATATAATCCCGATTCACTTCTTCAAAATGCACGAACAAATATATACAGGTATTGTCACATCAACTTGAAGTATACACCATCGATTAAAACTGATAAATAGATGCAGAAAATAAATGCATCATTTCCTTTTCAAATCACGCAGCTGGAATCATGTAGAATCCAATTTGAATCACGCAAAACGAATACAATCGGAAAACACCGAAGTTGAATGGAGATCAGTTTTAACAACCCTTTAATATACTGCACTGCACTTAATTCTGATGAAAATAAAAACAGTCATAAAGCATCCTTATACTGTACAAGGCATACTAACAATTTAAAATCTAAATATCCCACATTCACGCATCAATAAATATAAACAACATGTTTATTAGGATCCTTTCGTTGTTTCCGAAAGAATAAACATCTCGAAGAAAACATTTAAATGATTGTGAAAAGTCGACGTTTTCCGTCCCTTCGAAGAATATTTTGCGGCTTCAATGGATCAGCTCCTATAAAACAAAACAATGAAAATGAGAAGATAATTTCCCCGAATGGAAGAATTTGTGTTTGTAAAAAACAAACCGTAAAAGACGCATCGGAGGTTTTAGAATCTTACATCAGGGAACAAAATCGAAGAGCATGAATAATTAAGAAGCTCGTATAATGTCCCCCAAAACCAGTTCGAACTTTTATGAAATTAGTACAGTGTACTCCTATGAAAAACAAAGTCAGGCATGTTTTTCGGTCACAGAGGAGGGAGGAAATACTGCATTTTATAAATTAAGATTGGAAACTG